CCATCCATTGCTCATATGTCCCGCAGGGGTAACTAAAAGGAAGCCTGGCTTAGTCCAGCCTTGTCTCCATGATATGTCTGCTCGCTGCTGCTGCTGATGCTGAGGCTATGATCATGTCCGCGAGGGTGCGCCCCTTCCATCTGCATGATGCCGCTTTGTGGGCAAATTGTGCTAGTGCTTTTAGCAAATGCTTAAACATCGGAGGATAGAAAAGCACCTTTTCTTCTGTGAAAGCCTCAGTTGCTGACCTGTTGTGATGCACTCGGCCGTTGCTTTCGTAGCAGAGCAAGAGGTCAAGGGGTCACAGTCTTAGGTCAGATCGCAGTCGGCCTCGGGGCCAGGACTCTGGGCGAGTCTGTGTTGCCGTGTGGACCACAGGCATTGTCGCGCTGTCAGGAGATTCAGGTCAGCTACAATCCAGGCAGCCAGAGGAGCGCCAGCAAACAAAGCGGTAGCTTTCCAGAACAAACAGTCCTCACATGAGATGCAGGAATCCAAGAGTAGATGCCATGTCGATGGAGGCCTGGATGCTCCCCTGGCCTTTTGAGGTGGCTGTTGGGGCACATGTTGGCAGGCGGCTGGCGCGGTGTCGTTTTGTCGCAGGTTTGACCAGTTCCGCCAAGTGGAAAGCCCAGTCGAACATCGTCAGCCGTGTTCTGGCACTACGTTTCAAGTATGCCCACCATTGGTGCAAGATGGCGCAAGTGTGCTTGCGAAATGGACTAGGTGAAAACAGGCCACAATGCTAGACAAGGTTAGCTGGATGCCTTGGGATGGCACGGATGCAGGAGAGAGAGAGAGGATGTAATGAGGAAGAAGAGAAGGTGACACCCACACGGTGAGCCGAAACCTACATGTATAGTGACCACCAAGGTGTGGGAAAAGGTTTGGGCATAAGTTTCACAGCCCCGTGGAGAAAGGAGGTTCGTCACATGGGAATGCAGAATGGGGAATTGCATGGGGCCCGAAGTGGAGGGAGACTAGTGACTTACCCCAGCTTCATTCACAGTGACCACGTACTCTGAAACTCCGGGGATGACCAGACGTTGAACCGCTCGCAGGCTTCGGGGTGCGCCCCGGCAGGGCTTTCGGGCCTTGCATAGCCTATAGAAGAAGAAGAGAGAGAGAGAGAGAGCACCTACCGTAGCCATTTTGGCTCAAGTCTCCACCTGTGCTGTCCCTTCGGGGGGCACGCCAGACACCGGCCCATTTCTCCCTTGGGGTGGGGGGAGGGTGGGTGGACGTGTGAGCTGGCGGTGGGGGCCTCAAGCCCATAACCGAAGGATTTTTGAGATCGAACCGAGTGTTTTCAGGGGGAGCCCCTCCGCACAGGTAAAAATCTACCGACCAGGACGTTGCAAGGGGAGAGTCTGGAGGACACTGGATATAAAATAGGCCCCCTGAGCGGAGAACCCTGAACTCGGGAAAGGGATCACTTTCGGAAGTTTTGTCCTTTTGGGGAATGCGAAGTCAGTGTAGGGCAGCCTGGGCTTGAACTTAGAGTGGTCGCTTGGAGGGATCTAAAATGTGCTCCAAATTGTCCAGGAAGTTGCGGATAGGGAAGGAAGTAATACTTCAAAGAAATAGGAAAGCCATGGCCCGTCGCGGCGCACCTCAAAATGAGGGAACCGGAAACATATCTACGTCGACAACTGGGAACTACAGCGATGGAGATCGAAAAGAGAAAGAAGTCTGCAGGTACTGCGATTCTGGAGGAAAGATCAAGAAGCCTCATACGCATAAAGCTGGAGATGGAGCACGCAGCGAGAGGAGGAGAAGTCGGCAGGAAAAAACTACTGGAGAGATTGGGAATCAGAGAAGACAAGCGAGCTCCAGTACAACGTGGACAAGACCAAAATAGGAAGGAAAGGGATAAAGCCGATGATCAGCGAACTCCAGTACTACGTGGACGAGATCAAAAAAGGAAGGAAAGGGAAAAAACAGAGGTAAGGGAACAAAATGCAGCAGCGAGGATGAGTTCTCCTACGACCAAAGAAGGGAGGCCTGCGTATCTGGCTATGTGGATGAAAGAGGATGACGAAACAAGATATTTCTGGGAAGGCAGACAACCTGACCAGGAAGCAGATATCGCAAGGCTGGCAAGGGAAATGCAAAAGACGGACCAGCAGCTGGGACAAGGGCTACAGCGCAATGTATAGCGAGCAAGCTGACAGAGTGGGGATATGAAGAACCTCTGGGAGCACCATCGCAAGAAGCAGCGCCTGAGACAACAGAAGTAGAAGCCCATCGTTCTCAGTGGGGACACCATAGCTGAGGCAAATCAGGAAAGATATTTCTGCGAGAGTTTTTTACCGTGACAACATCGTACATGACGCACCTTATGGAAATACTGGATAGGGACAACGCACAATACTGAGACAGTGAGAATTTTAAGTTTTGAGAAAAGGGAGGGAAGTGAATTCGGCATGCTGCTAGGAATTCTCTACACAAGATGGAGGAAACCTGGCTTACTGAGACCCTAACGATCCAGCATGTAATTTGCACAGCCCAAGTCCAAGGGAAGAGGGGAGTATAGGGATGGGTATTCCGATGGGAGTTTACCTGAGGACGAGGGAAGCAGGTAATTGGAAAGCCGAAGACGGCAACGCACAATTGATGCAGGAAATTTCAGCACGCACCAATTAGGAGAAGGGAGTAGGGAAGAAGTAGTCTCTTGCGAACCAGCAATGTTACCAATGTATATAGAAGTCAGAGGCAAGCTCCGGGATGGGCAGCCATGTAGGTGGTGGAAATTGGGATGCACTGATGAGCAGTGAGAAGCAGGGGAGAGTGATCACCGTGTGGTAGAAGCGTAGGGTACGTTAGGAAAACACTCTCCAACCTTACCTCGGCTCAGCTAGGACGAAAGATTTTCCGTGCATTTGAAGGGGAAGCTGCTCATTGTACGTTCTCTGCAGGCCGGCCGGGTGGACGTCCCTCGGTGGGGGGGGGCTTGGGTCCCGTGGGCAGCCGTTACCAGACAGGGCCGCTGTGCCTGTTACTGCCCCCCTGCACTGCACCAGACTCTTCGCGTTGCCTGGGCACTTCTAGGGAGAGATCTGCGACTGCCTACGCGTCTTCCCCGTAGAGGCTCGCCGGGACAACATAGTTGGGAACGGACCAGTACGGCGACCGCTGCTGTCGATTTCCTGCACGACCTGACGGAGCAGACATGGCGGCCGGAAAGGAAGCGCTGCGCAAGTACAACAACTATTGGAGAAATATGGCAACGGGAAAGGGTTTGGATGCTTGAGATGATGGAATTGAATGCGCAGGAAATGGCACTTTACAGGTACAATGCGAAAAAGGAACACAGGCACAAACCGAACCAACTGCTACACGTGACATCAAAGAAGATTATGTATGAGTGAAGGGGA